CCGAGACCAAACTGTGCGAGTTTATTTCATGTGTTGATTTTCGAGAAGCTTCCTTATTTCATTCGAACACTTCTCTTTTTATGATGAACTCAGAACATGCCTATAAAATGGAGTATGTTCACTATTTGCTGCTCACGCTTTACCTCCTCCCTCCACCTTTCGTCACCATTGCTGTAAAAATATTGTAAAACATTCCAGATATAATGATGTCGGATCACTTGGAACTTTTTTCTTCAGTCGTTGTCTCCAGTCTGAGGTTTTTTTGCAAAAAAAACTGTCTATTTTCTGGAGGAGGGAAGGCAAACGCACTAGTCTAAAGATTTCCGAATGAAGATATTATCAATCCAATTGCTGTTATCAACATTTTGTCGGGAGTACGAAGCTTCGTTTTCCCTTCAGCCTCGACCAGCATCCGGCGCTTATACTCGAGATCCGTAAGTTGGGGTAGGCGTGTCACCGGAAGTGACGTGTACTTGATAGAATCTATGTGGATAAGGGGCTTCCAATATACATCGCGAGATATCAGCAAAGCATGCTGGCAACGACTTATCTACGCAACTTCTATCAAGTCCACGTCACTTCCGGTGACACGCCTACCCCAACTTCGGATCTCGACTGTACGTGGCAACATCTGGAGGGAGTATGGTGTGGAGGAATTTTTCAAATGGTTAAGAATTGTCGCAATGGGTGCAGAATCGATAAGCGGATTGAACAGTACTTTGGTTTGTTCTGAGTTCGGAGCGGGTGGCTTTGGACAAGTTACTATAAGAAATTGATAATACGATTTACGCTTGAAGAAGTAGCTTTCCTATGACACAACATTGGGAATTATTCCACCTTAGCTACCAATATGCGGAACATGGAAATAGGCCGGTAGGTAATATCTGATGAAACTATTGACAACATCTACAATAATGATCTTGGAGAGCTGTCGCGAATTTGGTGCTGCATGACCTACTTGCAGCCGGTCCTGGCATCGGGAAGTAGGTCACCTTTCTAAAGTGAGGACAGGGAGAAGGAAATTGTAGTAGATTTGTTTGAGACCGAAATGTGACCCGAATGGTAATGGCTCGGCCCCATCACTGTGCAGGACAAAAATCGTTGAACTACCTACTAGAGAAGTTCAATTTCTCAGCATTCCGCAACTAATTGGAACTGATATCTCTGCCATTCTTGAACTGTCATTCTGATAATAAGTGTTAATTATGGATGATTTTCTAATGATATTGAACTGGTCTAGCCAAGTATACGAATCAAATATGGGGCATATCAGAATGATTCAAAATTATGTCATCATTAGTAACTCAAAGACGAGAACGAGATTTCCGCATGCCATGTCGCCAAAAACTTCGGAGGGCAAAATACAGCGTTTGGGAAGGAAGTTTCAATATATGGTCAATATAACTTCCTCTTTTGGATTTATTCATGTGTATGCTATAACGAATTGATATACTCCTTATCATTATTACAGTGATTATTAATCACTCGCAGATATTACAATTTATGCTATTGTGATTTTCTCCAGTAATTTTCACTTTGAAGTTTCACTTTGCTGATTCTCTTCTTCCATTTCCACTCTCGTCGGTTTCATCGCTCTGTCGTATACTTTTCGACTAGCGTCGTCGCTCGAATAATTTTTTCACAGAAGCTGATTGAAAGCTTTCAGAATAGACATAGCCGCCGCTGCATGTTGCGACGACGAGTGCTATGTCAGCTGCTTTTGAATCGTCGCTTGCCCTCTGCCAACAGCTCAATTGGCGCAGCGATCTTCACAAAACGTAATAGTGATGTCATTTCATCGATTGATTTCATGAACAATTCTAGATAATTCTTCGCATTGGCGGTTTTTTGATCGGATGTTTGAACAGATGTTTCGATAGGCGCAACTGAAGGGAGGGTTTTGTCTCAACATGGGGATGAATTCGGAAATTTTGCGCTTCATCAATATTTTTTCTGTCCTGTCCTGAATCCTAGAGATACAATATTTTTTTGTCTATCAGTCAACAGTTGATAGAATTTTTTAGGCTTTCAATAAACTAAATAAGAGAGCGAAGAAAATCCCATACTTACACGTAGCTTATTTCCAGTAAAAGCTAGAACGTAGGAATTTCGTTTACTTATCAAAAGCTCAAACAAATGACGTCTTTATCGTGATTCATCGCAGTATAGGTATTTCATCGAAATAGCTCTTCGGCCAGTGAATCATCTTTTGTGATCTGGGTTCTTTTATGCCGAAAGAGTTTGGGTTGTGATCATGTTTGGACTCGAATCGCAAGTCCGAGAACTGTCTAAAAACCGGAGAATCCCTTTGAATCCTCAGCAGATGACCAAACTTTGACTTCCTAAGGAATGCGCAAACCTTGAGAAGAAACGTGAGCTAAGTTTTCTGACACCATTACCATCCTTTTGTCAACCTTGTAGCTTGCTGTTGTTGAGTTGATATAAGTTAATCGAACGAACCTCTGGGTAATAAACCTAATCCACCCCAAATGTTCGTACTTGGGCAAAAACCCGAGTGTGCCTCAACTCTCGATTTAGAATTCGCTTAAAAATACATGGTAAGATTGTCGAGCGGTTTTGCAAGTCCAAGAACGGGATATATATAGATAAAATCGCTGATAATTTCATGAACATCAAGTTCGAAATGAACACTCATGGCCGCAGGGGGAACATTCAAAACAGGGCATCCAGAAATCCGAATTAGGAACTTAATCCAAATAAAGCGGAGAAAGACCAGGGAGAAACAGGCGCATATTAGTACATTGTTTTCAGACGAGTCCCTGCCCGCGAATAAAGCGTGCCTTCCAAGTATGTCATAAGTGCCTCATCTCACCCTTGAATTGCGCTCCCCAACCCACATTGAGCGTTACGATAATGAACTATCGCGTTCATGATCACCTTGCTCCAGCCTACTTGAATAATTTCTAGCTGTCGGACAAGAGTCGAGTGATAAATTTTTCGCTGAAGGAGAGAAGCGATCGCTTGAATGAGAGAGCGATCGCCTTTCTAAGATGATCGCAGCAGAACCCCCATGATTCGTTAGGCGGGTGTTCTTGAGTGGTGGCTATCAGCTGTCTTAAAAGTTAAGCTACAGTATACCTTGCGTAACTTAGCCTTGGATAGAACTTCGAGTCATGACTAAGTACAAACAAATATGTTCGAGAGCGTAGAGCGCTTACACAATGTGTCACGCGCCGTTAACGGTTGGCATGTTGCCATTAATCCCGTGAAGATGCTTTGGGTACAACATTACAATAACTAAAGTTCGAAAATCTTCAAACGTGACGTAGGGCAGAAAGGGTGCAGTGATTGGATCCAGCACTGTTCTGGGGTACCAGCTTTCTAGTATGTACCATACGTCGACGTACGTGCCATGCGGGATTCGCGGAGCCATCTGAAGACCGTTCGCAAGTGTGTGGATTTATCCTTTCACTACTGCTACTCCTCCATGTACCTCCGCGAACAGGATCTCGGGTAAAGGAAGTGCGGGGAAGGGAAGGTTGAGACGGTCGGGTCACATTCCAAAAAATTTTGTGGCGTGCGACACTAACCAAACCCCTAAGGGCGAAAAAGGTTCTTGAATTTAGTGGATTCCGCTGGTCGTGGTAGCATTACTCCTTCACAGGCATTCCCCAGCATCAAACTAATGTGGCTCATACACAAGAATATTAAGGAATCGGTGCGAACTGGGACGGCAACGAAAAAGGGAAAAGGATTCATCAAAAGCGCTAAAATATTACCTTGATCAGTTATTCGATTGGGCTGTGGTAAGGCAGTGAAAGATTAGGCGTAGAGGAGGGAGTGCAGGCGAAAGAAGACAATGGACGAGAAAGCTTCAGATACCAGTATGCCGTGGAAAAAATGGAAGCGAAATGGAACTCAAAGGGTTCTTTGCAAGGCTCTAGCGCCCTTGTTGTTGGCTCATCTACGTGAACTCATCCTGAATTAGGCCATTGAATGCACTTTCGATTTTGAACAGTGGTCGTGTGTGCGGCGTATCTTGAAGCCGCTTCACTTACCAGCGGCGCTCAATTGATCGTTGACCTTGCATGCAGTTGATCAGTTCCCATAGTTTTCATTGGTCCACATGGAAGAAAAATTTCGTGATGTTTTCAAGAAACGTTTTCAAGTTTTCAAGAAAAATTTTTTTCATTACAATCAGGGGAAGTTGCTTTGGAAAGAGGCAACAGTCAGTTTATCTAGCAACAGTTCCTTCTGATCCCTAAGATCGGCGACAAAACTTACTGAACAGGTTTCTTCGTAAAGACCATACCAAAGAGAACTCGGAATAGACTGCAACTTGCATGAGCTGAAGTTATACCGTCATGAGATCTCATCGGGCATAGAGTACATGTGGGTATTAGGATTACGACAAGCGGACTGTGCTATAAGCGTGTTCTGTTGCACAGAGCTGGAGATATCACTGGTCTTTTGAAAAAATCAAACGAAATATGAAATACGCATATGCAGCAGTTCGATTATGGGATTCAGGACATCTTGGTGAAATTTATGTCCTATTCTGAAGAAGGGAGCTACTTGATCCATTGGCGTGTTCAATGGGGAGAGGGGGGGGGCGGGACAACGCAAGAAGTCAGTCTCTCTTCAGATTGAAAACTGCATAATTGCACTTTAGATTTGAACTAAGTGTACCCAACCGAATTTGCGGAGCATATTCCAATCTCTCGTTGAACTTTATAATACCTTCTAAATGGAGGGCATCAGAGGATTTTCTCATGGGAACTTGGTACATGGTTCAATCTTAACACTGTCCCGACAGGGTGGGCTATTACACGTCGGCTGAAACGCTGGTCGGAAGGGGGTTTGCATAGTCAGAGCTATAAGTTTCTCTAGAAAAATCTATAGCTCAACGAGCGCAATGATTTTATGCAGTCTCCATCAATTTGTGTTTTTTTATTGGAGTTTTTTTTCAGAATGCGGATATAGCTGCATTGTCAAACACCAACTCGTCCCCACCATACTCACAGGCGGGTACTGAGCAGATGCAGTACTCAACACCGGAGTCCTGCACTGATCAACGGACCGAAACGCCATCTTCCGATCAGCTAAATGGCGAATTTGGTACCACCAATGACTACTCGCCTGACAATGGCATCGGTTCGTTCGTTCTTGGAAAAATTCTTAGCGAAACTCTTGAGATCTTGAATGTCGCTTCCGTCACAGCCGAAAATGTCGGGGATTGAGCTGAACTTGGCGGGTGCTGCCTTCCTCCACGATTCCAATCTGAGGTTTAAAACTGACTCGAAACCCGGCCAAGTGACCAAACCCTCGGAATTGATCAGGTGGTTAGGATGGAAAGCTTTGACATGTGCATCCCCTATTGCCTTCCCCTCCAACCTTCTCCTCCTACACCAGTAAACGTTGGTTAGCCCAAGTCCCATTCGAATGCCATGCGTTTCCATAGTTTAAACTAATTTTATGCTTTATAAGAAAACGATATCTTTTGTTCGGGAGGTGTTATAACAATATGAGATATTTCAAAGTATGATCTTGAATAGTCAAGTGACATCCGGATATACTTAAGTAATTTGTGAATAGTTCAGAGTTGGATGTGGGCCAAAAATGATTCTTTTTCTAAGGTTTCCAACCTATCTCTTAGGTTTCCTCGTATATGTATGTCCACTACTTCCCAGTCAGTGGACGCGGTAGGAAAAAATTTTCTCTCTCTCCTGTACAAATCCATTTTTTCAGAATTCCTTGAATTTCAGAATTATTTGCTGCATATTGCTTTATTTTCCAGGATCGGATAGGGATCCATCACCAGACTGTGTTTCAACCTCCTCCGGTGAGCCGCATTTGCTCGGCACGAAAGCCATTTCGGCCGAAGATGCCGAGCTGCAGCGACGTAAGTCACCGTAGTCGTTTGTGTCCCGCAGCGAATTAACATGCCTCACTGAATCTACTGCTTTCAGAAATCCTCCGCCTTCAGTCTTTCAACAATGACCTGAACGCCGAGAAGAAACCCGCCTTAAACCTGCTTTCGTCATTCCATAATAATCCATTGTTGGCCGAGAAATTGGCCAACTGCATGATTCCCGGTATGCCGACGCCACCGTCAGCTACCGTACCGCTAGCCGCTTCACTTGGTCAAGCGCCAAACACGCACGAGGTGACGCCGACAAAACGGAAACGTCAACGGAGGTAAGGATTCTGTATAGCAGGTGCGCGCGAGGCCTCTGCCTGGACCTGAAAGATCCTAAAAGAACTTTAGTCCGTGGTCCGTGAGTGTTTGAAGGACCCCTATTTCCCCTCGAATAATTTTGGTTGTCCAGAGTTTGATAAAAGACCAGTTTCCTAGCAATAGCAGGTCACAGCATCTTACCGCTATTGATTTTCAAGAGCCTGAGCAGAATGCAGGAGGTTGGGAGGGGGAGGAGAATGGTGAAAGGACTGTAGTATGGGAACTCTCTGAGTTCCACAAATGACCACGCACGCTATAGCTGCTGAACGTTCTGAGAATCAGCTGTCATTGTTGGCGCTATAGTGAAAGGACAACGTTTTTTCCTTGTTCAGAAACCCAGTATGGCCGTATTTCGATGTCATTGATGGTACGGCACGGTGTAAGCAATGTTTGTACAGCACCAAATCGGTGTTCAGTACGAATTTAAAAGTGCACCTCCGATCGCATCATCGTGCCGACTATGAAAAGGTTTGTCGACTTCATCATAATTACTTAAATTAGAATTCCTCTCTGAATAACAACCTGATGTATAGTTATCAAACTTCTAAAATAATCTACCAGTTCGGTCATGTCCACTTTAATATTCTTGATCTCGTACGTCTTAAGGCCGTGACTGTAAGTGGGCTGTGACTTACGCCATAAGATCGCCGCGAAATTACATTTGTTTGTGATTATTTTCACAAGAATGGCATAAATCGACCACCACAGAAGTGTGCCACATGCACACAAGAAGTCCTATCCACTTGTATTATTGTAATCGCTGATGCGGCCATTTTTCAAGCAGTCGGGTTAGAATAGATCGGAGCTTCTTGAAGTGAGAACTGGTATGAGATTTTCTTTAGATCGGCTTTCCACTCACTGTGTCCAGTAAGGAAACCTAACAAACAACCCACTTTTAAACAAACTTATAATTTTTTTCCAGGTGATTCAAGCTGAAGACGCCTTAAATCTGAACGCCTTGCTTTTGAGCGGCAACTCTAGTAAATTATTCTCTACTGATCTGACACGGAAGCGGATGCCACCGATGACGAGCAGCATACTGATGACGATCAATAAAAAAATTGGGTTCGATGGTACAGAAATATTCATAAAATTTTCTAATAATTGTTCGGGTTGTGTGAATGGGAGGGTGGGCATCGGGAGTTCGATGCTTACAATAGTCTTCTGTGAACATGACAGTGCGAGACAAGTTAGAGTACCAGGATCATCAGGAAAAAATTTGAGGAAGTTACAACAAGAATTAAAGCCACACCCACAATGAGTTTAGGTGGTCCGGTCCCTTGTATGGGTAAGATATTAACAGTAACGCTGCAAGATTTGCCGCGTTCGCAGTTTAAAAGTACGCAACAGGGGTGCGATGGCCCTGCCATCTACTCTCCAACCACTTTCACTCTTACTCGTTCACAACGGGCGATGTGTCTGCGCGCTCTCGTCCATTATACTCTCTCCTATGCTATTTTCTCTGCGCTCAGTGTCTGTTCAACTTAGAGCGGACTAGGATTAAATTTAAGTGTTTCACAAAGAATTCTTTTTTATTTTTCTTTACTGCAGGTCCACTACGCGTCTTTGCTTTTATCCTTGTGTTTGCGCAAAAATCACACTTATTTGATCGTAAGGGTGCTTCTGAGGTTACACTATGTGGACTGGGACCAGGACAAATGGAGGTCTATAGTGTTGAACCTCTGGCACAGGCACAGTGAATAAAGCGTCATTGAAAATTGCAAAATATAAATTAAACTAAATTAGGAATACATGCTAAAACAGTTCCTTATCTAAGGGAAGATACGTTGGCTTCAGCCACACGGAATCTTCACGGACACGCGACCAGTGGGCGGACATTAGTGAGTTTTGCACGAAATGAATGGTAGCTCGGAATCACACCGTTCTGGAAATCGGACACGTGTAATCGGTACTATCATGATTTCTACAAAAACTTCGGTCCGCCCACTCTTCCATGGTCCGTGAAATTCTTTAAGTTGAAACCAACAAAACATAGTGATCCTTAAGAGTTCTCACTCCCGTGATCCGGCGAAGAAGGGAATTACCACATGTAAACCTTTGGTGGAAGGTGGCGCCTTAGATTTCCAACTTCAAAAGAATTCCACTTTTACTAATGTCCTGTTCTCATTGAATGGCGGTGCCCATAAGTAAACAATGGCAAAGTTGGCGCTGAGGTTAGAGGCGACGCTTGGCGCATACCTGGTTTTCAAGACCAAACCAGCATAGATCGGCTAGGCTTCACCCCTAACTCATCTTTCCATAATGTATGGCGCATGTTGTGCTAAAGGTCTACGCGCACTTTTCGTTTGCGGCGATAAAATTTCGCAAGCAAGTATTGCTCTGTGCTTTGCTGTGGGTGTGTGGTATGGTGTATCATTTGTACAAGATAACGTTTCGTCGAGCGTCGATCGTCAGCGGCATTTCAGCTCCACCCTTAACATCTCTGGCCTTTCGAGCTTCCCTCGATTACCGTGGAGTTATCTCAGTTTTATTTCCATTCCCCTGAACCCTCTCTGATCTGCCGGTCTTGCCATTGAGAAAGCTATTGACTTTTGTGCCTTGCTACATATTTTTCGGCAGCTACGGTCAAGTTCAAGCTTGATCACAATTAACTGGACCGATTTTCTGTCTGCTAAATAATAGCGCATCTATTTCTTATCAGCATGTTTGCCAACTGGTTGGAAATGGGTAAGTAGTGCCTTGTGTTCCTTCGTTGATGTTCAAGAGATTGGTGTGATGTCAGTACTGAAATCACATGTTTATCTTTCACTCGGCCCGCTCAACCCTGTGAGTTCTTTTCAATCAGCAGCACCGAAGGATAGGACCAAAGCATGGTTGGTCAAGAAATCTGGCTGCCAGATGAGAAGGGGTGGATCGTACTTTTGGAGCAGGGTCAACCCTATACGTTGTACAAGTACCAACGGGGGGGGGTCTTTTACTTGGTTTAGGGGAGGGGTCGTGTCCGCTTCAGTTTTGTGGTGAAAAGTGGAGTTTTCACGAGTAGTAGGCTAGGTGAGTTGGGAGCGCACGGGAGAAAAATTCGCCGTTTCAGCGCGCGTATATACCCCCCCCCGCTCGACGGCATTTTTGGAGGAAAAAGTGGGCGGAGTTTGGTGGGTTTGAGTGGTACCAGAATTAAATACTATAGAGAGGAATATGGTGGTCGAGGGTCGAAAAGGGGGTCGTACCAAGTCCACCTTGGGGGAGGGGGGTCGTAAAAATTTTTGAAAAAGTAACAACGATAGGACTGACCCTGGTGAGCTAGGAATGTTGAACCACTGAAGGGGGTCGTGAAAATTTTTGAAAGAGGTAAGCAACGATAGACTGGCCTCCTGTGGAGCTAGGAATTGGTTGATTATTGATAATTTATAGAAGCTTTCAAATATTATAAGAAGCAAAAATGGAAATGCTTACAAGAGATGAGGGTGCTAATTCGAGGGAAGTTTCAAGTTCCTGAACAGGAGGAAAGGAATGTGACTACTATGACGCAATAGTCATTCACATCATAGCTTGTCAATGATACGTAGTCTTAACGCGAAGTTATACGAAAACTGATGTCTTTCCAGAGGTGAAACTCCAGTTCGGGGGGGGCCACTCCATTGCTATCTTATCCGTAGTACTAGAGAGCAGTTCTTTGGGCTATCGAACACTACGGATAAGATAATAAGTGAACGACTCATTTCGAGCGTACTTTTGATAAGGACCGGTGGATGTCCTACATTCCACACTACCTGCCCACATCCCATCCACTTTTCTGCACAGGTGATCCACCCTGGAGCTCCTGCACCCTTAGCCCTTTGCGGAGGTGTCCTTTCTCCTGGTCCAGGACCGTTCCCTTGGGTCATGGCAGGCGGAAATGTGAAAACGTTTCAGGGTTTCTCACCCATTACACCAATATTTATCAGAAGTCTACTTTAAATGAGTCGATTACGTGTCGTGAGCCCTCTAATCCTTATCTTGAGTATTGGAGAAAAAATGGAGTGCCCCCCCCCCCGAACTGGAGTTTCACCGTTTTCTAATCAATAAAGAAAGAAATTGTCCACAATTGCGAAATAAAGTCGCCCTTCCATCAGCGACGAAGCGCTGATAGCATGATTTGTAGGTGGGTCATAGTGGAGCGGCCAATGCTGCTATTTCTAAGGCCTTAGTCGCTTCAGCCTTTCAAGTCATTTCGACTGGATTGTGCAATGTCCCTGCTTGCATGAATTGCCTTCCACTGATTTTCTCTCGAAAAGTTTTCTCTTACTCTGAGAAAATTCCGGATACTGCCAGTTAGAGAAATCAGGAGTTAGCATGAACTTCTCTCTCAGAAACTAGAGCGGATTATGGGTCAGAAAGTCTTTTGATAAATTGGAACTTCTTGGCCGTTGAAGACATAGTGAGGTGATGAATCTATTATAGATGAATCAGAACTTGGTACTGACGGAAAGTAATTGCCTGACTTCGATTGTTGATAGGGACTTAAAGGCCTCGGATGTAACTGCACTGCTGGACCCATTTTTAAGAGGACATATCATGGGGGGGGAGGCCTGATTTCCAGTCGAACGTTTTTCTTGTCACCCTTTCTTAAAATTTCTTTAGTTGGTGTGTAATCTCAAATTCCCAACTAGGGAAACCAAAAGCGGAATCATAGCGCTTTCGTGACTAATCGCGGAATCCAATTTCATAAACGGGTTTCTTACGCCGAACACGCAGATTAAGAGCCAAAAAATTCAACAAGTTCCTTCTCGTCATTCGGTAAAACCGATGCTCTCGTTGAATCTTACTGCAGGATCCAACTCCTATCACTCCTGCGATAGAGGGATGGTCTCGTCCAGGCTGGGTCTTCGAGCAAGTGTCGTATTTGCTCAGTCATCATTTCATATTGTATCAAAGCTTCAATATTTGCTTTGTATACGCCACAGCGCTAGCCGTCACCAATGCTGGCCTCATTCAATCACATCGATCATCTGATCGCTGCGATTTCAATATGATATCGGATTGGAAGCCAGTATTAGATGATTCAATATTGTCTCATGCTATGGCTTCTGGAGAAAAACCCTGCAAGACACTGGGTGACTCGTATTGAGGTCTACACAGCAGCGAGACGGGTGATCGGCAAATGAAAGTAATCATCCGTATAAAGCTTGATTAGACTAATAACTTACGGCTACCGTACCTGTATGTGGCGTATTTCAATCAAACAGTATGCTATGGTCGCTAAGGACATCCTTTGGGGATTTCTGTATGTTTTCTTGGGGGGAAGTGGTGCAGTGACAAGTGGCGCGCTCACCACGCGAGCGGTCCGGGATCAAATCCTGGGTCGTGAGTCGCCCGGGCCAACCAAGCCTTCCATCCCTCCGGGGTCGGTTAATTGGTACCAGACTTGTCTGGGAGGATAAAAACACTGACTTGAACATCTGGCCCCCGCAAGTCATTGTATAGGCCACATCGCATTCAAACGCCACTGCGAATGTACAAATGGAAGTAGAATGCGTGCCGCATCCCAAAAGGGATTGATCAACGGCAAATGCTTTATCCTTTATCCTTTTGCTGGTTGGCCCTGATTAAACCAGATACAATGACTGCTTTAACCGTTTTATCCTCATTCACTTTAGACCTCCAGAAGAAGAATATGGCCATTTTGGCTTGATCAATGAAGGAAGTCATCTCATTCGTTTTGCGAGAAGCCGGTGCTTTAATCACATCAAGGAAAGAGGAAAGTTGCGATGAAGATTTTCCTAGCTAAATCATCTTACAGATGGAATTGGTCCTGCCTGATATGGAAACGTATGTGATCAACCGTACGCCCTTTTTATAATCATAGAAATTTCAGTGGCAAGCCAATGCCAGCACGGGACGACTAACCTTTTGAATAGTCTGTGCGACAGACCCTATGCCGGGTACGCGATCATCAGCAACTACAGCAAGTACAGAATCAGCTGCAGGTTTGTCAATGTCCTTTAGGTTCACAAGATGATTGGACAACACAGACGAACATCACATTTATCTTTAGGCTCAAGCACAACAAAAACAAGCAGCAGCACAACAACAACAAGCAACAAGCCCAGCAACAACATCAACAACAACAGCAACAGCAGGCTCAGCAACAGCAACAAATGCCTTTGACGCTGAACGCTGCCAACCTGGCCGCTTTGAACCAAATGGCTCGGAATCAGCTGAACAATGCTTCACAACGTGAGTTTAGAGATTGCTTGGTCATAGACGGAAAGTACGTCAGGTGGAACTCGATCCCTCACTCTGGTTATTTTCGTGCAAACGTGCTACCCACTGCGCTACTAAGGCATCCAAAGCATCTTCTGGGGCTTCTACGGGCTCGCTCCAGTGAGAGGCAGCTTTTTTTCTCGAGATTCCCCTTCCTTTGCTCATAACTTTGATCTAATTTACTCTGCTGCTTGGGCACCCGTTACTAGAGTTCACAGTGAATTTGGGTCTAGTTTTCTGTCACATTTATTTTATAAAGTAGTCCTCTTCTTCCTCTGTAGTGCCCAAATTAGTGTAATGCTGAAGTATCGATTGGTTCGAATTGCCTGCAATTGATTTTCGTTTCTAATCAATGGTATATGCAAGGTGTGTGTGATTTTCGCGTTATGTATGTGTGTGAGTCAGGTGCAGGGAAACGATGTCTTCTGATAACTTGTCGCTGATTGCAATGCAATCACTCTGTCATGAGCTCTTATAACTTCTCCGTCCCACTTCCTTTACTGGCCTACTTTGCCAAAATTGCAGTGCGACCAAAATCCCCCATGTTTCTTCAACAAAAGGTAACAAAGTGTTGTTTCAGCTCTGTTAGGAATGACGGCCGAACAGTTTACCAGTCATTTCGGCTTTCTCAATCCAATTAAGCGAGGTAAACGTTATCGATTTTTTGTTTTTATGTTCTCTTGCACACCGCTGAATTTCGAATTTTTTTTACAACAACAATTATTGTCTTTACGGTTATGTAGATCACCAGTCTAATGCCTTTGTACTCCTTATCATAGTTAATCAATCAATATCTATTCATTTCATTAGTGTATGCTTCTACTGCGCAAATGCCAATGAATCCAAGTGACCTGGCATGACGAGCAGCCCATACGTTAGAATTCTTGCCAATTAGAGTACACATAGGCCATTGCTCTCCCAAGCTGGCCGATGTGGCAGCTAATCAACACTGCTGGTTGCTCTTGCTGATCTCCCTAGACCCCTCAAAAGTTGACTCCTCAAAAGCATTGTCACAACAATGCTGAATAATAGGCAAAACTTTTTTCCACGAAGGAGGATTCGTACCGGCATATCTTGCTTGCCGGGCAAGTAGACTACCAATTGCACTATCGGGCATACTTTTACCCTAACCCTATCTCTAAAGTTATTTACCATAGTCATGTATCATTGAGACATTGCTGAATGTTCATGGGAAGTTCACCTGCTGCTCAGTTCTGCAAATAAACCAACAATTGCTCGTATAGCTCTAAGCCTACTCTGGATCCAAGTCGATAAAAACACGGGATGTGATATAAGACCCAACCTGGCTTCCACCTCCTACTTCTGCCACCTTAAGGAGTTAGTCAGCCATCTTTTGACGAGGTGACGAGTCTGGAAGTGGATGTCCTACCTCTTAAAAGCAAAATTCTCAAAAGCAATTTTCACGAAGAATCGTCTGTGGAGCGTCATAAAACCACAATAGGGGCAGCAGCTCCGCCGTTTCCTCTTCCAAGGAAGTTTCTACCCCAGTGATGAAAGAGATTAGGTAGGTAGCTATGGACTGGGCTTATAGTTGCTCGCGTACAGAACCCCATTATTTATCTATGAACGTTCTCCCAGAGTGCCTCAGGGGAAATGCTCGTGGATACATAATAGGGTCTCACTTTCATTGGTTGAAGGTAATGAAGTTTAAACCATCAATGTTGCTCCAGTGGTATAATGGTTTCAAAGTCAATTAAAAAACGAAAGCCCAGCTCTTTCAAGTGAATGTTTTTTCAATCAAGTTAATTAATGCTAAAAAAGCAAGTTTGCAGAGATGCCATCCGCGCCGCACGGGAACCTGATGCGAACGGTATGCCGCAACCGAAGCGTCGTCGACTGCGTCGGCATCCTGTTTGGATGTTCTTCAAGGATCTCGAAGACCGCGTGAGTATACATTGTGAAGTGCTTTCTGTAGCGTACTGCTCTGGTGACATTCAATAAGCGCTAAAGGGCAACGGGCACCATGACGAGCCCTTCATTGTTCGCTGTTTGTTTGATGATAGCTGATAAAATGATGAGTAAATTGTAATGCGAAGCTCTGGTCGCGTGCTTTCAACAAAGTGTAAAGTCACATCTTTTCTAAGTACACGAATGCTTTTCATTCTTTACTGATGCATATCTCCTACAGTCCTACCATATTCGAAGTTCTGGAGCCTGTGTACCCCTGTAAATCCAGGGTCAATTGTCTCAGGTCGTGTTTACTTGTTCGAACGGTCACCATGTTATTTCGGATAAGTGGGGGGGTGTCGGCTTTTTGAAGGTAGTCCGAAAGGTTTCAATTGCGGAAGCGTAAGATTCTAAAGGGGGTTATGTCTGGACGGGTTTTTAAAGATTTGAAATGTTTCACGAAAGTTGTGAGAATTAGACGAAATTGGTGGATTTGTCGCTTTATAATTCCAATTTGCCCTGCCTCGACGGCCTTTCTTGGGGAAAAAGTGAGCGGAGTTGGTATACAATGCTATGAGCAGCCGGGGTGGCGGTCGGAGGTCGCAGAAGGGGGAAGGAGGATCATATTGGGGGAGTCCACTAAAATTAATGGTGATGAGGATCGCAAAATTTTTGCAAAAGTGCGAACGTGACGATTGACCCTGCCTGCAACTGGGAGGAGGCGCTTCAGCCGCAGAGATCAGTATGCTGTAGAGCGCGTCTATGGTGCTCGCCAGAATGTACCTATATAATGGTATCTGAAGACACCAGAGTCTACCTAACTAGGTTACACCCTCTAGCATCACGGCAGAAGGTCTCGAATCCCTCCTCTCTAATCCTTTTACCTTATATATACACCATAGTTACCTAATTCTAAATTGACAACTACAGGTAAACATCCCTAGAGAAAAAAGACGCTGGGTTGAGCGCAAAACTGGTGGACCCATGGTCATGAATTGGTGCTTTTTCGTTTCCATGGCTTCCCATCACTTCGTAGGGAACGACCACATCCTAGTCTGAGGCCACAGTAATGGATGGGCGTTGTCGTGAACATTTCTTTATGGCACACATTTTTTCAACGAATGCGCCCTCTACCTTGGAAGTAGCTTGGATTTATTTGAATTTTCCCATAACAGTACTAAAACTAAGCGCAGAAGCTCAGCTTCATCGTAAGCGCCTGTCCTTGAGCTATTTGTAATTCTGTAATTCATAGGAAAGGTGGAATTTGAATTTTTTTGTGCAAAAATGTTCACCAAGATGATTCTAATTTGGCTCATTCTGCCATAGTGCCAAAAGTAGAAGCCTTTCTAGTGCTCCTTGGTAATTAAAAATGTTTGTGAGAAATTTCTAGGTTGACAAGCGAAGAGCTTCTGAGCAGAGGTGTAAAGTGAACTCGTTTCAGATGGTCGGCTGTATCAACTGCAGTTTCCGTACCGGTTCGGCTTTCAGCACTAATCTGAAGATGCATTTGAAAGCGCATCACAAAGAGGACTACGAGAGGGTAAGAAAAATTCTCACGTCATGCGTTTACCAGTCGTTTTAAAGTGGAGAGGGGGGGGTAGGGAATATTTCTCATTGATGAGGTGCTGAATCCATTGAGAAAGGAGGTGGATTGGGGAAAATAACTAGGCATTCTCCTGCAGAATCTCGGTTGGAGATTATTAAACGTCACCCAGCTTATTCATTGTATTAGGCGGAAAATGCCTACCCTCAACACCCGATCGCTAAATAGAGGTATCGTCGAAGCCGCTTCAAGCCCATCTTTTCAATAATCACTATCAGTACTTTACACAGTGAGTATGATTCTCGTACAAGATGCAATGCAGGTCGGGTCTCCGAAATGACAGCCTGTGCTGCTGTTGTCCTTCCGTCTATCACCTAATACAATATCGCATTGTCACTTACGGGCCACTCTATCGAATGGAAATGAGGCGAAACGCTGACTAGCGGAGTTGACTGCGGCCCACGTCAACGTGATAACTCGTATTGATAAGGCATTATACATGAATGTATGGCGTATGCGCTTTGTTTGACTTGGAGCCGTTTGGGGAATTTTCGAGGGATTCAAGGAAATTTACTTGTTCGGGTTAGGAACGAGGAACAAGAACAACACAGGGAAGTGCTAAAAGCAGTAGCAAATGAAGCTGTTTCGTCATCCTGAGGTAGGGTTTAAGACATTAAGGAAAATAAGGACGAAGGTGGAAGAAGGGGCCACTTGCCTAATGAAGAGACAGGCGACCCCTTTTGAAAGGAATCTTCCGCGGAAAAAGCTCCGCCCCCATTACCCATAGAAAAACGATACCCCTTAGGCCCCTAGCCTCATGAGCATAGCAAAAAGAACGGAACATAAGTGTTAGTTTCGATAATACTAATCCTACACACAAGACAAAATGATCACTCTTTCCGTGGAAGATTCCTTTAAGGTATCGTTTTCTGTGGTAATGAGGCGGAGCTTTTTCGTGGAAGATTCTTTAAAGGACGAATTCACGATGAAAAAGCAACCCATTTCAAATTAACCTAGGGATGGTGAGTGGTACACGAAAGAAGGAAGAACCATGAGAAACGGCCCAGAACCCGAGAAATGGGACCCCTTCCTTGCCCGTTGATTCGAGCATTGATGCGACTCTCATCGCTGTGCCCTCTTTCACTACGCTCTCTCAATCACTCGCCACGTATTGAACTACGGCGAGTGATCAGATGATCGGTGGGCGGAGATCGCCGGACCCGCCAGCTTTGAGGCATGATAGGTCGCCGAGGTCAAATTTTTCCATGCGAATTGCGCGTCAGTTCGCACCCTCAGGAGGTCCGGGTCCCTCAACTAGTCAGTTTCCCATTCTTCCGATTCTTCAACTCTGAATCGTCGAATTTCCTCTTAAGCGGTCTGGACTTCGAACCCGCCATACAATCCCACAGGATCCCTGCCCCCGCAATCGTCCAGCATAGCCTGCCCGCGCTCAGTTGGTGCACTACTGGCCCAGTACGTCCCCTTCTCGCGTCGTATCGCGTCGGAGTCTTTAACGGTTCAGCAAAGAGGGGGGACTGACTAACATTGAAGAGGGCAACACTGATGAGAGTCGCATCAATGCATAAATCAACGGGCAAGGGAGGGGTCCCATTTCCTGAGTTCTAGGCCATTTTTCTGTTTTTTTCTTCTTTCGTGCATCACTGACCATCTCTAACTTAATTTCCAATGGGCTGCCTTTCATGGTAAAATTCGTCCTTACATTCCAGGTACTGAAACTCGAAGGCGATATGCGTGTCGAGGAGAATGTAACTGGTCCACCGAATAAGATCAAAAATGAGCTGATCGACTTTCATTCGTGGTGGAGGAAATGCAAGCACAGCTACCGCTGGTGAGTGTTTTATCAATTGTTTCCATTAGTTTCAGCCTCTCGTAAACCACCTTGAGTAGACCCGAGTTGGCATTTGATGCCGGTAGGGTCAAGTACTATGCATGGGTTAGGTGGGGTGGCCCAATATCCAATTTTGTTTGAATACTCAGATCTTAATTTCACAATAGTTTAGTCCTGGAAGGGTCTTTGCTACGCTTCCTTTTGAATATTCCCCCCCCCCCTCCTGGCAATACGAGGCACGCGCCGTAAGCCGCTTGAGCCAGTCGAGTCTTACATCTTCGTTTGTCGGATAACTGGTAGGGGTGGGATTAAGCATGTGAGAACAAAGCGCTTTCTTGAACATTAGCCGTCCTAGAAAAAATCATCTCACTGGTCAGCCAGCATTTAACTGCGTCTTCTATTTGCAATAGATTTCCAGCGTGAGTATAGGAAAAAGTTTATGCACTTCAAAACCTTGGATGTTGCGATACACGGGATTTTTCGACCTTGTTGCCAACATGGTGATGATAAGACCTCCCCCGTTCCCCCGAGGTGAGTCGATGAGTGCCCGAGTTTTTGCTTGCAAACCTGCCGGTTTTTGCCGAAAATCATCATTCGTTCCCCAGGTTCAAAATCGCTGTTATCAGCAGTAATGTTCAGCTCATCCATCAGCTCCGCGAGCATCTCCGCTGATTCAGCAGTTCATTAGTCAAACAATGGCAGCACGGCAAGGGAACGATTCATCGAAGAAGGATAGGTGAGTGCGGTTTTGAAGAATTCACTTGGGTTCCGCAACCACGCGGATAACGCCGACGTTCTGTATAAATTCTGCTAGTTTCAGCTTGGACGAGGATCCATTCAATGGCATGTCGATGTCGGACAAACTGGCCGCTCTCGTTGGTTTGGTGCCAGCACCGGGTGGAGTTGAAGGCGAGATCAAACAAGAGGATGAACCTGAAGAGCCCGTCCCATCCGTGCAGGTAAGTACTATTTGATGTGCACTGCTATTACGACTTTTGCCCACAAATTAGCACTGTAGTGATAACCTGAGAGTACTGATAAACCTCACCTTTCAGAGCGCCTTCGATGAGATTCGACGAGCAGCTGACAACATGCTGGCGGCGAACATGGGCCTAGCTCCACCTCCACAAGAGCAAACGATTGTGAATCTGAATGGTCAGTT